TTTTTATATTTAAATAGAAATTGAAAAATTTCGCAATAAAAAAAAAATGTTAGAGAATCAAATTTAGTTTATCTAATAATTTATTACTGAGATTTTATTTATTCTTATTTGTAGTACTTTAAACCATTTGTATATTTCTTACACACATTTTATCAATGTATTTGCTATTGCATACATATCTGTGAATATTGCAATCTTATTTATTTTATATATTTTTTTATTGTGGTATATGTTTTATACATTTACTGCATTTGATTACACTGACTACAAAATAATAAAATTAAAATTAAAATTAATCAGTTTTCACTAACAATGAGATGAGAAAAAAGGACATGGCATCATAATATTTTTATTAGCTCTTCGAGAAATAATATTCAATTTTTTTTAACCAAATAAATTACTTAATTTAGTAAATTCTGCGAGAAAATTATATATAATACCACGCACATAAAATTCTTATTTATTTTTATTAATATATCGAAAAAAAAGAAACAAATAGAATATTATAAATAGAATAGGTTGTAAAATTGTATCTTTTGTTAAGGTCAGTATATAAATGTTTTGACCTATTCACTTGAGCGTTTTCTCTTTTCCTTTTTGTTAACTTGATTTTTTAAGATATATAATTCAATATAAAATCAATATATAATTGATTTTTATAATATTTACATCAATTCTTATATTTTATATAATACGATATGATATAATACACAATATAATATGTAATTTATACATGTATAATTTTTTGAGAAAACTACAAATTTGTGTATATTTTTTGTATATTTTGTATATTTTTGTATATTGCATATTTTATACGTACAATTTATTACGATCAAAACTTTTTTATTCAAATAGAAATCATAGGAAACAGATGGGAATTGTAGATGAAAAGAAATTATAATGTTCCATTCTTCAATTATTAAATAAGAAAATAATCTGTTATTTTTTATTATTACATATTTTAATTTTGCATTTATAGAAATAGTACATATTGTTATTTCTTAAAACTTTCCAAATAAAATGTTTCTCTAAATCAATGGAGAGATCAATCAAATTAACTTTATATATATTATACACATATTATATACAACTTTAATATAATTATGTATATTGTATATTATACAATATCACATAACTTTAAATTTATAAGCTCTATGAAATCGATAAGCCCAGCAATGAAACCTCTCCTTCATCTCCTGAAATTTATAAGTTTTACGAAATCGATAAGTTCCGCAACGAAACCTTTCCTGCATCTCCAATGCTGAAGAAACTTCTTTCCGGATTTTCGACAGGATTTTTGAACATATCGTTAACGAACCGCTGCAAACTTATTCTCGACAGGTGTATGCTGCGGATGGGATGCCACAAATGATTTGCAACATGTGCCGCTGGAATCTGGATCGCTCTTACAAATTCAAACTGCAATGTAAAAAGGCTGATGAAGCGCTACGGGACTACCCTCTGTCCGGGGTATTGCCTAGACCCTTCCCGCCTATCCCCAACGACCCACCGATAGAGACCGGCAGCAAGAGACCCGCCGAATCTAGATTGCAACATGACAGCGCTAAAAAGCTACGCTCTGATAGCGAGAACCAGAGAGATCCCCGAGAGAGACGCGAGACGAGAGAAAGAGAAAGAGAAAGGGAAAGAGCTTGTTTACCTTATAATTCTTCCTGAAGGAATTAGAATATTAATTTTTAAAAAATTGAAACATTTTTCCAATAATATATAATTTCGCGTTTATATGTTTTTCCGAATAATTCTCTTCTCTATCTTCATATGATAAAAGATTGAACGAAACGAGAAATCGACGCGAGCGAGGAGAAAGGCTCTTGTTTCGTTCTGTAAGAAAATAAGAATGTTTCATGCGCTGTTCTGTGATAGAACGCATCTCACTTCACCTTGACATTCCAGGATTCTAATATCAGCGGGCACCCGGTCACCGGTCTCCAACAGGACGATGTCCCCGACCACCAGCTCGATCACCGGCAACTCCTTTCTCTCGCCATCCCACAGGACCTTGGCCCATTGTGGTAGCATTTGCAGAAACGAGTCCATGATGCGCGAGCTCTTGGAATCCTGATAGTAACTGAACATGCCGGTAACCAGGATCAGCAGGATCAGGACTAGACCGAGCCAGAGATGATACTTGGACGCCTCGCCGTAAGTTTTCAATTCTAGAAAATAGTTACCGAAGCATAAAATTGCACTCACCTTAAAAATTTGTCACATTTTGATGAACCTTTCAAAGACTTTCTTAAGACATATTTAACTTTTACACAAATAAGATTTTTACAAAGTGAAGAAATATATAATAACAATGGAAAAGGAAATACAAAAGTTGATATATAAACAATTATCTTTAACATATAATAGTTATTATATATATAATATTATTATTATATTAATATATATAATAATATATATTATAGTCGT